TCTCTGCCGTCTAATTGTCAGTGATGGACTGAAGACCCATGACTTCACCTTTAAAGAATAACATAGTACCTGTCCTAATTGTGGTGTAGATTTAACTCTGTCAAAGAATTTGGCACTTAGTGTAAACGTCAGTTAAATTTTAATCTCTGCAATGTTGCCATTCCATATTTATATTTTTAATGCAAAGATACAGTGAAGAAAATCACACAACAAACATGAATGCATTTTGCATCAAATGAAACTAAATAGCATAAAAGCAGTTAAAATTCAAAGATTATTTTATAGGCTTCTTATATTTACCTTTTTTTTTAAAAAATCAATTCTCTTGTTTTTACTCCCTTTTTTTTGTAGCTTCCAAATATTCCATTTTTTTTTTCTTTTCCCAATGAAAATGCAAACTTGAATAATGGTGGGTTATTTTTTTCTTCTCTTATAAAATGATATAGGATTTAAGTGTCTAAATTGTTTCCTAAATTATTCTAGCAACTGGAATTTTCTCCCCAAGGTTAACAGGAAATGTGAAGGTTGACTATAGGGAATTCTACTTTTGCTTTAATCTAGGTCAGGATTTATGGAGACCTCATGTGGTAACAAGAGGGACCACAAAAGACTTTCTTTAGGCTGGGTGTAACAAAGTCAAAGGAAACTCAGAACTCATTTGGGAACAAAATCATCCAGAAAAAATTAAGACCTAGAAAGAAGTTAATGTTACTGAGGCATGCCCACATTCCATCCTGCAATAATACTGATAATATTCTGTATAATTATATAGTTTTTTAAAAATCATCTATATTTTTCCTTTTTGTAACTGAAAGTTGGTGATACAATGAAATCAATGTGACATGTTTCTGAGAAATTAGTCTTCCTTTGGGTTTATCTTACTGAAACTTTGCATAAAAAATTTAAAATATGTTCTTATATGCATTTTGCTATGGATGCTATTTTCAGTTTCTTTCTTTGAAAGTAATGGAGAGTAAAATAAAAAAATATATAAAATAAATCAAACCTGAATTCGTGTTTTTGACTTTCATCCATGCTGCAATGGTTTGGCACTTTAGGATAAGCATTTGACTGCTAACCACCAAGTCAGCGGTTCAAACCCACCAGCTGCTCCTTGGTATTCTATACAGGGTCTCTATGAGTCCAAACCGACTCTACAACATTTAACAACAACATAAGTAGCATTATTTACGAATATTTGGAATATGGTTTTGTGGTTGTAATACAAAACAGTGAATGATTTATGTGGTAGATAAAGATGACTTTAAAGACTCATGTTTTGGTGTTGACAAAGTGTCCAAGCTGTGAAATGACATGAATTAGTGCAGTAGTAAATTTATTTTAATCACAATTTACTGGTAATGACTAGAGAAATTTCACTGAGGGGTAAGTCCTTCAGTAACTGATACTTGCTAATTTTTCTCACAGGAAGACCAGAGCTATCACTTCTAGTTTCTCTTAAGAAAGTTATATAACAGACCTTTAAGCCCAAACCTAGAAGGACAAATGAGTTAATAAATGTTAAATGTTTTTAAATATTTAAAAGAACAGAGCAATATAAATCTGTGTCACTGAAATGAGTAATTCTAAGAGTTCAGATTCCAGTTACCTGATGGGTTCCCTGTCTTTGAAATGATCCTCTTAAGGGCGGGGCATTTCATTTTTCAAGACAGGCAACATGGCATAAGAAGAGGCAGTCGCTGGGAAAGGGTAATTTGGAAAACTTAACTAGGAAAAATATGAATGGGGATATTGTAGAGATGAGGGGTTGAGTCTTTTCTGAAGTTGAAGGAATCAGTCATCAGCGCACTTCCTAGTACCAGGCATTTTGTCAGATGCTGGGAATGCAAAGATGAATTGGACTGGTCCTCTTCAAGAAGAAAGCGGGCTATTACGCAAATAGCTAAAACACAGTGAGGCTGGTTGGTGTTAAGCTGGAGGCACTTACAAATTCCTAAGAAAGTCCTGTCAAGGTGGGATAGGATGAGAATTCTATAAGGACAAGATGCGTATTAAATTCAAGAGAAAGGGTGAACTCATTTATTTAGATGCCATTTAAAACCAATAGAGACATTTGTTTTTGAGGAGGGTGAGGGAAGAGGCGGGACAGGGCTAGCTGTTGCCAGACACACATCACAATAGAGAGACAATAAGAAACAAGGAAACACTCTTTCGAACAGAGAGGGGTTTAAAAAAAAAAAAAAAAACAACCAAAAAAAACCCAGTTCCAGAACTGCCTGAAAATGAAAGAAACCTTCTGGTACAATGTGCGTTGCTAGGGATTCCCCCCTCCCCCTTTCTTTCCTAAGAGAGTAAAATCCCACAGACACATTCAAGCTCTTAGAGTTTTGCAAGCTTATTGTATAATCAAGGCATCCACGGAGCCTGCTGTGAAGTGTGTGAGTATAAAGAAAGGGTTAAGCGGAAGGGGGTGGTGTAGCGAAGGGAAGATCGGCAAGGAGGTTGAAAGCACCATTTCCCAACTTGTAAAAACTCGTAACTTTTAAGCTCCCCAAAATACACACGTGTGTGTCTGTGAGTGCAGGCAGATCTATTTCGGCATGCTTTTCTTTCTTTTTTTTTTTTTAGATCCTAATCTCTCTGCTGCTCTGGCTCTTTTGCTGCGTTGCAAACACTGAGCAGCCCCCTTAGGATCCAGTGGCAAAAGCTGTAGCTGAAGCACTATTTACGAGTCGTGTTCAAAGCCACCCTCCCCGCCCCCACCTCCCCAGTACTGGTTGCTAACGACCATCCCCGAGACCGGGTCACCTCTGGGGACGGGGGTCCAGGGGGAACCTCCTTCCTCCCGCAACTTTGCCGGGCGTGGGAGCCTGGGTGCGAGGTAGCCGAAGGGCCCGTCCACGCCCGCTGCCGCCTAGCTTAGGCAGCCGCTGCCTCACCTCTCCCAGGCGAGGTGCGGGGTCCCAGCGCGCAGCCAGTGGGCGGTGCTGGGCGCACGGGGCGGTGCCGAAGGGGTGGGGGCTCGGGCGGGTATATAAGGGCCGCTTCGGTTTAACTTCTGACTTCGGGTTATTTATTTGGGAGGCGCTCAGACGTCGGAGGCTGGCGGCGGCAGTAGCTGCCGCAGACGGTGGTTAGAAAAGGCGGCGGCGGTGGCAGTGGGATGGGAGCGCCGTGGCTCACAGGCGCGGGCTGGAGCGGCCAAGCTTGCCGGGCCCGGTGGGCGTGCTGAGCAGAAAGGGGGGCGTCCGGGGCCCGCGGCCAGCTCTAGAGGCGCGGGCCGGGTTTTTGTTCTGCTGCGCGTAGCGCCAGGCAGGCGGAGCCGAAAACTCCACTTGCAACAACAACCCACCTTCTCGCAGCTGAGAGAGACTAGGGCTGCTGCGTCCGTCCTATTGTTTAGACACTTGCCAGGGACTCCGGAGTCGGCAGAGCCACAGAGTCCCCGTTCCCTGTCGCCGCCTACCCTCTCCCCGACCCGCTCCGTGGACCAGGAGGCGAGGAAGGCAGCCGGGGGAGGGGAAGGGGCTGGAAGGAGTAAGGCGGATCAGGACTACTGCCACCGAGTCAGGTGCACCGCCAGGAGCTGGGCTGCGGCGTCGCGACGTCGGTGGAGCCCGCCCGCGCTGGAGGACGAGGTCTAAAGCCTGGGAAAAGTTCCTGCACTTTCAGAAGGATAACCCACTTGTGGGTGGCTGCCGAGGAGCTGCGCCCGCTCAGGAGGCCTGCGCTGGTTGCTTCCACCTTTGCCATCAGGTGTCTGCTGCGGAGCTCTGGCGTATCCGGGAGACCAGAGTGGCTGACACAAGCGCGCACACACGACTGCCATTCAGCTGCCGCCTGGGCTCAATCAGGGAGTAACGGATCCCAGCGGTCCGCCTACCACCGTGTCTTCCTCCTCGACACCCGGGCAAGAACACCCTCACCTTGGCCTTTTCACTCTTATCGGCTTGCTTGCCTGCCTGCAAATCTTATCCCCACTCGTCCCCACAGGAGATCCCGTCCTCAACTTGGCCTCTTGGATTTTCTTTTGGGGTCCTGACTAGTGGATATTCCTGCCAGCTGCGGCGGCCGTACTGCCCTTTTGTCTTTTCTCGGTGACCTGGGGGCAGGCCCTAGTGCGGAGCGTCGCCAAGGACGCCAGGCGGGAGGCGGGATTGCAGAGCCATCCTTCAGCGAAGTATATGTGTGTTTGCTAACCACTCTCGGCTACTAGGAGTAGGCAAGGACCAGTCGGGGTTGCAAGGAACCAGGCAAAAAGCGCGTGAGCTGCGCCTGGCACCACGCAGAGCCGCCCTGCGCCCCCCAGGCTGTGCGCCTGCCCCGTGCGCCCCCGTGCGCTATGCTCAGTCCTCTGGCACGCTCTGCCTCCTGCCCGCAGGGCTTCTGCGCCTTTTAGCTTCTGGGAGCCCACTTTGATTGGGACCACCATTCCAACTGAGACCCGTATTCTGCTTCGTCCCCTCCCGTGTGCAATCAGATTTGAAGAAGGAGTGCGGAGGATTAGAGTACTCGCTCACCCCTCCACGCTACCGACCCCTGCATCTGCTTGGCCTTTGGGAGCCCTGGCTCATTTTTACCGCCAAAGACATCATTAGCAGACAGACGACGAGAGATCCCTTCCTACTGCTCTCGGGGTCTCCTTGCACCCTTGGACCGGAAGATTGATCAGGACCTAAAGTTGACCAAGGAGCGCCTACTCAGCTGGAGGAGGAGATTGGAGAGGAAGGAGGAAAGCGTTTGCCTGCGCGTGTTCGGCTGCCGTAAATATTAGTGTCATTTCTTCATTATTTTTGCACATTTCCACCGGGTATTCTGGACTGCTAACCCGAAGCCGGGCCACTGGGCCTTGAGCACTGCGCGCTTCCTACGAGCAGAGCAGCGACCTCAAGAAAAACCGCGGGCACCCGCTATCTCTAAGGCGGCGGGGGAAGATGCGCGGCGTTGGCTGGCAAACGCTGTCCCTGTCGCTGGGGGTACTGCTGGTGGTCCTGAATGAGGTGGCGCCGCAGGCGTGTCCGGCGCAGTGCTCTTGCTCGGGCAGCACCGTGGACTGTCACGGACTAGCGCTGCGCAGTGTGCCCAGGAATATCCCTCGCAACACCGAGAGGCTGTGAGTATAAGCTCTTTACTACCACCTCCAACATCAAGAGTCTTGTACCCCCTGCTTCTGGAGGGACCAAGTAGCGTAAAGACCCGTGCATGAGGCAGCCTTCCTGCCCGCGCATCCTGGGGTTGGGCTCTTCTGGATGGTGAAGGACACGGGTGCGTACCACCCAGGGAGGGGGCGCTGTTCCAGGAGGGGCGGGCCCATTAACAGACGCACTGGGCACTAGGTCCCTTCATCCCATTCTAGTCCCACTACCAGCGGGAGACTTTCCTCTGTCTGGAAAGCTGAGGGGCTAGTGATTTTGGGTGCCTGGGGCGAAGGTGACTCGACTGTGTGCCCGGATAAATCAAGTCACCTAAATCAAGTCATCTTGCAGTTGTGGACACTCCGGTTTGTTTCAGTGCCAACTCCCGTCTCTTGCGCGAGGACTCCAAAGAGCGAAACCTCTTCTTCCGGGCTTTGTATCGCTCCCTCTTGGGCGAGGTCGTGGGGTGGCCTGGTTCGCCCGAGGGCGCTTCGTACAGGCCATGAAGGGAAGGGCGCCCCTGGACGGCGGCAGTCCGCTCGGTGACCGTCAGTGCCCCCTGCCACTCTTACCGCCACCTCCGGGAGGAGTTGGCGGTGGCCTCACGGGATCTGCCCAAGAAGGATCCTATGAGGGAGGGGACCAGGCACCTTGGTCCAGGCGAAGTTGGAATTGCTTTTCCAATGGGTACCAACCAAGTCGGGGCTGCTTGCGTCAGGCACCCGGAGGCCTTCAGCTGCCCACTCCAGCCCTTCCTGTGTCCGCGTCCACCTTTCTGGCAGGGTCTGAGCCGCTTCACGTGGCAACAGCTCTCTCTCCTCTCTGCGCTCGGCTGCCCGCAGACATCCCCGCCTCCCTGCCTCCCTACCTCTGCAAGGCTCTAATGAAGAAGTAAACGCAGCTCGAGCGGTGACGGCCCACGCGCTCCGTGTGGGAGCTCCCGGAGTTAGAGAAGTGGAGCATGGAGGCCATTCTCTTTGTGAACGCGGACTCCCGCCGCCCCAGCGCCCTCGGCGCGCTCAGCTCGAGCACTTGGGCTTGGGCCGGGAGGTCACAGGGCTTAGGTACCGCGGGCTACTGCGCTCAGGCTCCGCTCCCAGGGCCTCTTTGCCTGGACATGGGGCAGAGAACTAGCTCTGCCCTACACGTCTCCACCTGCGCGGCCCAGGGTGCCTTGAGTTGCTCTCGCAATTCATCCCCAACTCCTGGCCTCCAACAAATCTTTAAAGGCCTAGTTGAGCTTCTTTCTTTGTAAATAGCGACTGCTAACCACCCCACCCCCAATACATACTGGGCCACCCCCACTCTTTTCCCTCCCTCTTTCCCAGACCCAAAGTGCAGAGCAAGTTGGGGTCCAACTCCTGGGTGTCTGGTCAAAATGTAATCCACCCCATTAAGCTGGGGGTGAAATTCATGTTATATCAAATAGCCGATAAAGATCCCAATGACTCTAGAACAACTTGATCTGATAATTCATTCGGCTTGGAAAAGCGAGACAGGGAGTAGGGCAGAGAAAAGTACTGCAGAATTATTTTTCAGAACTTGTCATTTCATGCTATTCAAAACAGTTTAAACACTAACACGTCTTACGCAACAAAAAAGGACTGACCTCAGGGGAAAAAAAGCAATTGCGTTTCAGAAATATTCCTGGGATGAATCTACCGTTTCCAAACTACTTTATTCAGCGCTGCCTGAAAAATTCTATCATCGAAAAAAGGAAACAATTTACAATACAGTTGCAAACGTGCTGTTTTAAAGTCAAACGTAAAATTAGGACAGTAAACTACAGCTTATTGGTCACAATAAAACTTGGTTTTGCTTGAAAAGATTGGAACCAGGGCAAGTTCAGACTTTTACCCAACCCACCACCTTCCAGGGATTCCAACTCAGTGGGCCGGTAGGACAGAATCGAACTGCTCCGTAGGTCTCCAACGCAGAGGCCCTTACGGAAGCAGACTGCCACGCTCTGTTGAGTTTGCACTTCCGACCTTTCCTTTAGAAGCCAAGCGCTTAACCACTGAGCCACCAAGGGTGGTGGTTGTTGTTAAGATGGGTTCTGAGTGTTACTGAGCTGCAAATGAAGTTTAGTTTTTCTACAAACAATTGTTGGAAGGTCAGCACCTACTAATGCAAGTCTTTGAAATGCAGTTCTTTTGATGGCATGTTAAATTTTTTCTTTGCCTTAGAAAGTTTAGTTTCCCTGCTACCTAAGAAGGATTGTCCTAATTTCATTCTGTCTTTTTTATATCCTTCTGAATCATCAAGTATAGTAAATTATTATTTAGACTTTGTGAAGGAAACTTGTGGGAAGTGTACAAAACAACAATATCAAAATAAGAGTGCTCTCTTTTAAAGAACACCTGTGAGTGTAATCATTACACTTAGAAAAGCAAAAATTGAAAGTGCTTCATATACACACACACCACATGCACAACAGAAGAGAACTTTGGGTGGTAATATCTTGTCATATGCCAGCAATTTAAGACTTCTTAAGAATCATTTTTCGGATATTTCTTTCCAGAGCCACTCCCTTCACCCTCCCATATTTTGAAAACTGCTTTAAGAACTAAAAAAACTTTGGGTTCTTAGCTTTTATTTTGTATAACCCAAAATGGATAAAAATAAAATTGAATGTTCATTGTCTTACTTGTTTTTGCAGGGATTTGAATGGAAATAATATCACAAGGATTACTAAGACAGACTTTGCTGGTCTTAGACATCTAAGAGTTCTGTAAGTGTGATTTTCTGTGTTTGGAAGGATTTTTGTTTTGTTTTTAAGATTGTACTTTTTTGAATTCGTTTTTGTTGCATCTTTTAAAACTGAGAAAGATAAGACAAGACACAAACAATCTTGCTTTCTTTTCTTTATTAGTATATACTACAAATTTTAATAAAAAGTTAGGCTTTTATTTTAAAGTTGGGTATATGACATAGAAATGACTTTAAATGTTTGTTATGCCATACCCTAAGTGCTCAGTGCATATAAAAATATAAAATAACTGCTTTTGTAATATTAATAAGTCATTGGAGATATTTGATATTCTTTTAAGGTTTTAGATTAAATATAAAAATTCAAGTGGGTCTGTATTTTATTATTACTAATATAATAATATTAGTTCATTCTTTTCTGGAGAGAGCAATAAGACATAATTCCTAACTTTAAACTCTACAGTTCAGCTCATCAGCAGAGTTTTTGTGGAAGAATGTTTACTTCTAAAAATACATTGGGCATAAATTTTAAAGTGTTACATTTAAAAAAAACAAAACCAAAAACTTTTGTAGTTTTTCTAAAATCCTTGCAGTGTGTTTTTTTCTCTAATTAGTGGATTGAATTAACAGTGAGTCAACCATCAGTTGAAATCAAATGCTGTGTAAAAGTGTTACCCAAGAGATTGTCAATATTTACATCACAATGGTTGTATACTGTTAACCACAGATTTCTCTGGGTTCTTGTTGTGAGACACATATTGGCAATTAGAAATTCTTCTAGTTGCTGATGTGCCTCCATAAGGTCAAAGTAGAAGCCTGTGTATAAGAATTCTTTTAGTTAGGAACTCAGTTAAAAGTCAGGTGGCCACAAAACAGTCATCGAGACTGTAGTTTCATGGATTACTCTTAAAAATAGGCTTATAGTTTCAGGTTCAGATTTTGGCTAGTGCAATTCCTGAGAAACTGCCTCAGCATTTTCCATGAAGATTTTGTGATGTGTTTGCAAGTTATATCCCCCTCCTTGAGCTCTCTGAAATGTATGAACATTAAATTGGCCATTGGATCTCAAACTAGAGCCATATTTGGACACTATAAAAGGAAGGAGGGCCTATGTTTTCAGTTGCTGCACAGAAAATTATTTAGATGCTTCCTGATGACTTGCCGTCTCATGTTATATTTTTCATTTCAGGCAGCTCATGGAGAATAAGATTAGCACCATAGAAAGAGGAGCATTCCAGGATCTTAAAGAACTGGAGAGACTGTAAGTATTTTCAGTTTCAAGCATATGACAACAGAACTGTGTTTTTAAAAATACTTGAATTTCAAGGAACCCTGTCTTCAATTTCATATTCTAGCTTTAGAAAGTTTATAAAAGAAAAAGGCTGAATAAATGGGTTTCAGAAAAAATGTACAAAAAGTACAGCTTCTGTATAAATAGTACTAATGTGCATTAAACCTCAAATACTGAGTTCCTTTCAGAAGTGTTTACTTCCTCAGGAACCACTGCATTGGTACTTGTACATCATTTTCTTACTGTTCAACTCATTTGTTTCATTTCTTCATGTAGGAAGAAGGGTGCTATGTTTTCTTTGCATTGTGGAAAAGATAAAATCTCCCTAATAGTAGTTTTCATTGTCATACTATTTATTGCTTTGTGTGTCCTTAGTGATACTGGAAACAATGTTTTAAATTCTTCCTATTAAAAGATTTCCCTCTTCATATTTAACATTTAGGATGAACTTTGTTTATCGCTTCTATTCACAGTTTTATTTCAGTATTGCATTGTGACTTTTGAAATCTTTTTGCTGGGAAAACAATGCAAAAAATTAGTAGAAATTGAAGTCAAAATTGTGTCACCATAGCCTGGCCATTTTATTACTATTAAGTTTGAACATTTTACTGTGAATTGAGTGAAGGTTAGCAGACAAGCTCATCAGCTTTACCCTCAACCAATCATATCCTACATTTTGCTTCATCTCAATGATTACAGGCCCCTCCTTGCAACAGCAGTTAACCCTGCTTCCTCCCTCTGACTTCCCTTTGACTTCTTATCTTTTACAAACCAACAAAGCCAAAATATTTGATGCACATGCCTAGTTATTTTAACATTAAATCTTTTTCCAAAAATTTCCATGAAAATGTCAGAAGTCAATTTTTTTTTTTTTTTTCAGATACAAAGTCTTACAAGAATTTTTATGTGTTAGTGTGGAGCATTATGTTATGCAAATAATGAAAATATTTTTTAAACCTCTCCCTGAAATAGAATAAATGATAGGCTTTCTCATTTAAATTATGAGTTATTCCTTGCTCTTTTACAGTTTGATCGTTCAATTTTGGTAGGTTTGCTTTTCCAGGGGAAGTAAAACCTTCATTAAAATAGCTCTCATTATTTTAATAAGTGTCTCTATCTGCTTTAGCAGTCACTTTATGTAAAACCTAAAATGATGTTTATTTTAGGCATGGGACATACTCAGGTTCACTGGGCTCAAGGGCAAATGTTAATTCTGAATAATTAAAATGGAAAAATCAAACCTCATAAAATGTTTGCAAATATAATGTATAAACAACAATTTTATTATTGTGAGTAAATTAAACAAAGAATGTATACTTTAAAACCTTTATCATAAATAACAGAATCTAGGAAATATAGTTGTGTAACTTAAAATATAAACTTCAATATCACTGCTTTGAACCAGTTTGGGAGTGAAACAAAGATAAACAGTTAGCTTATCTTTATAATAAATATAGCTACACATATATAAGTGTAGTAACATTATATGTCTTAATATTTGAAAATACTCCAGAATTCTGACATATGTTTCTAAGTTTGTTTGACCTCTTTATAGTTTTCCATGTTGTTGTTGTTGTTGTTGTTGTTGTTGTGTGCCATGGAGTCAGTTCCGACTCATAGCGACCCTACACAGGGTTTTCGAGGCTGTAAATCTTTACGGGAGCAGAAAGCCTCATCTTTCTCCCGTGGAACCGCTGGTAGTTTCGAACTGCTGACCTTAAGGTTCGCAGCCCGATTTGTAACGACTATGCTACCAGAGCTTCTGTTTGCATTGTGAGAGTGTTGTCATCCATCTATTTAAAACAAAAAAGTATCAGTATAATTTAAATGATTGGTAAAATGGATTGTTGTTGTTAAGGCCCGTGGAATGGGTTTTGACTCAAAGTGTCCTTATATAGGGTCTCCGAGGCTTTTATATCTTTTGCAGGAGCAGAAAGCCTCATCTTTCTCCCTGGGAGTGGATGATAGGCTCGAACTGCTAACTTTAGGGTTCCCAGTCCAGTGTTTATAGGTAATTTAAAATGATCATTTAAGCATTAGTTTTTTGTTCTTTTTTTACAAGTCACTTTTACTCATCACAGGGGATTTCTGCTGTTTTGATTTTTAAGCAGTTTCCAAATCATTGAAGGAGTTTTGATGGCTTTTCATGGAGTTTTTCATTGGACTTCATTAGAGTTTTAAATGTTCTCAGAAATATTAGGACAAAACCAATTTTCTCATTACCTTTCGAGCCTCTTTTTTTAAGAGTCCAATTGGAACTTGATCTGGAGTTAATGAACTTTTCCTGAAAACAGTTGTGACCCCCAATGCCTTATGATTTGCGATTTGACTAGAGTCTTTGGTCTTTGAATTGTTACTTCTCCTGAGAATGTCGCTTCATCTCTGAACAATCTTCCATTCGACCAAAAACTACTCTGTTTCAGAGTGGGAGGAGGCTTTGTAATTTTGAATGAAAACTAATATATATGCAGGACTTCTTTAAATCACCCCAGCTGTTGGCCTAGAGCAAATATTTCATATTTGTGAGGAAAAGCTGAGAAAATTCCTTTTGTTTACAACTGCCAAGTCCATCTGATGGAAGCACATTGTTAACTGACAGCCAATTCATCTCCTTGGGACCCTGGAATTCAAAACCATTTCTTAGGAAACTTGTGGATATACTTTTCAAATATTTATTTTTTAGAACATGTATTAAATGGCAAGGAAATTTTGGGGGGAAAATACAAAGGCTTAAAAATACATTCAAGTTGTTATAAACAGATTAGTTAAATTTTTAACTCAGTATTGTGTTGAAAACAAAAATAAAACAGAAAAACAGAAAGAAAACCCAGACAATTCCATAAGCAAATGACTATGGCATGTTTTATACATGTTTATTTTCATTGGTGCTATTAACACCTCAAAAAATTGCTTTAGTTTTCTGAAAGCTTCAAGTGTGAAAGAGGGGAATTAATTAATATATTAACTTTTAAGTGACTTTACATGGCTTTTAGCAATTTAAGTGTGGCATTTTCATTTGAACTCTGAATGAGGGGAGAGTTTATAAATTCAGATTCATGTTATAAAAGCCGTTCATATGATCTTAGGGTAATTTCATTTTCATTCCCTATGTGAAGAGCAAATTAAAAATAAAGACATTAATTTTGTTCCTGAATAATACATGTTTCTAAGTTAGTTTTCATTTTAATGTTATAAAACCAAAACAACCTCAATGGCTTTTTGTGGAATATTTCAAAGTTGGAAGTTTTCTCTCATTTTACGTTCACTGAGTCTTAAACTTAAGGGCTCAAGCCTGTAACAATTGTGAGGATGACGCAGCGTTTTTCAGTTGTGCATAGGTTCGTTAAGAGTTGGAACCCACGTGACAGTATCGAGCAACAGAGAAAAAAAAAGACACATCTGAAAACAAAACATCAGAATCTGTGCCTCTCTCTATATAAGTCTATATTGGACTTTTCCACCTGCAAGAGTCATGAAAATAGAATTTGTAGCAAGAAATAAGGAAGTTAGAGCATCATGTTGTTGTTATTAAGTGCCATCGAGTCAGGATTCCCGAGTAGCGGCTGGTGAGCTTGAAATGCCGACCTTGCACTTCAAACTGATTTTTCAGTCCAGCGTTATTAACCCATAGTGCCACACCAGGACTTCTAGAATATTATGTATATATATAGTTTTCTTTTTTTAAAAAAGATACTGTTTTTCATGTGAAAAAAAATGGATGAAAATATATCGTTTTCAATCCAAATGTCCTTCGATGGTTGTTAAAGTTAATCTGCCCTCCTTCCATCTCTTCTTCCCTTCCATCCACCTCTCTTCCCCTCTTGCCTTCTTAGGTCTCTCTCTTTCTTCTACCAGCCTTTTCTTTATCCCCTCCCTCCCTTCTTCCTTCCATCATGCTTTCCTCCCTGCCTTCCTCTCTCTCCCTCTAATTCTTCCTGCCTTCTCTCTTCTCATTCTCCCCCAAACCCTTCATTCCTGTTCATTTCTCCCTCCCCCTCCCTTCTCTCTTGTTGTATAGAAAACAACATCAGATGATATGGTCATCATGAGAATGTGCTTGTGAATCACTGCAAAAGAAATCAGTTTTGATCACGCCTACGTACCGTGCGCACACATTACTTCCTGTTTTGACAGTTTGCAACTATCTTCCCAGACCTAACATGTGCCATGGCAGATTTCCTAGGATGCTCTGTATTGCCAGCCGTACCTGCTTATCTGGGATGGGAACGAAGCCTTGACAATGTGCCACTTGTATATTGCAATGTTCAATGGAAAACTAATAAAACATTCAGTGGAAAGCTGACATAGTAAAGTGATTAGTTAATTCAGTTCAGCAGTGGAAGTTAGTTAAGGAAAAACCAAGGGCAGATTCTACAGAAAAGGCGGACATTAATGAAGTTAATGAACTTTTTCATTTAGAAGATAAACTACATTATATGATGTGGTGCTGTGGGATAATGCACTGGACTGAAAGGTCGGTTTGAACTGCAAGGTCAGTGGTTCAAGCACACAGCCACGTGAGCTAGCCAAGAAATATCTTGAATTAATAATTTTGCATGTAGACTTTATTGCATATATGTTGTTTTGACTCATAGCAACCCTGTATATGGCGCTTCTAAGGAGCAACTAATGTATTTGAACCACCAACCTTGTGGTTAGTAGTCCAGTGCTTATCCTATATATAGCACAACACCAGGACTTCCATACTGTCCTGTTGATGTTGTTAAATGCCGTTAAGTCAGTTTCGACTCACAGGGACCCTGAATACGATTTCCGAGGAGTAGCTTGTGGATTTGAATCCTTGAGGGTTAGCAGTTTAGTGCCTATCCTAGAGGGTTACACGTGATCACTTCTTTTTTGATTAAAAAAGGAAAGAGTTTTAGCTACATTGGAGTCCAGAACTTCTGTGGGTAGGAAGTTCTGATGTGGCGCTGTGGAGAAGCACTGGACTGCTAACCACAAGGTTGGTG